ATGTACAACAAAACAGCAACAACAACAAACCACTGACAAAGAACAAATTAAAACACAACAAGAAAGAAAAGCTTGTAGTTAGTTCAAGGATCGTTGGCCTTTAGGAGTGTTTTCCAGTCCAGTCTGTTGGGGCAAGAGGGATTTTTCTAAGAGCAGACAGATAACAGCATGTTTGCATGCTGATGGGAAAGAACAGGAGAGAGGAAATTGTACCATGTGGGAAAGAAAAAGAATTACTGTAATATTGCCCTGGATTTGGCAACAGACAGTGGTTCTGGTGAGCAAAGGGAGGATTAGCCTTGCTTGGAGATACCGAGGGTTCATCTAAGGCAGAGGTGGGGGACCTTTTTTCTGCCAAGGGCTATTTCGATATGTATGACATCATTCTCGGCCCATACTGGTCAAACATCGAATTTCCTCACCACTAATGTGAATCCTGGAATCGCTTCTCTTGGCTGGGCGTGTGAAGCCGGCTGGTGTTAATGGTTTTCCAGGCCAGTAGAAGGAAGGAGGAGCGGATGTTGGCAGGTGAGGACATGTAGCCGTGAGGGGGCCGGTGGGAACTCTCATTGGATGGCTCTCATAATCAGAGTGGCAATTGTTTTGATAAGCTGCTCCGGAAGGGGCATTGCTTAGAACCTTATCCACAATGAAGGGAAAAGTGAGTTTGGAAATAACCAAGCCATGCAATTGCAAAATGAGCTCGCTTGTATTCCAACAGAGGACTACCAGGAACTCATTGAAGACATTGTTCGAGACGGCAGGCTCTATGCTTCTGAGAATCACCAGGAGATACTTAAGGTCAGAGCTCCTAAGACACCCAGCAGGGATCTGACCTCCCCCAGCACTCCTGCCTGTGACTGGGTCACTTTTATACTGTCACCAGACTTAGTTTAAAAAACACAACAAAACAAAGCCCGGTGCTTGTCCTAAGGGTTGTCAAATGAAGTGGGGTTTTGTTGTTTAATTTGGAAATTTGTCAGGAAAAAGATTGCTTATAAAAACAAGACAAAGGCAAATAGTCTTCCTATATTAAGTTCAAATAACCGAGGATCTTAATCCTCCAAGCACAAATACAAGGTAATTAGCAATAAACATTTGCACTGCCACTAAAACAAAACAAATTCCAGTTGCTGTTGACAAGACAATTCTGACTCAGGTGTTGCACAGTAAACTTCAATCTTTCGGAAGAATATCCCAGGTCTTTCTTCCAAGTGACTCTGGGTGGGCTTGAACCACCAACCGTTCAGTTGGCTGTCAAGCAAGTAACCCTCTGCACACCCAAGGGTGACTGTACTCTATCACTCACCCTATAGATACCTCAAAAACCCTAAAGTTAAAGCTCTGGTTGAGAAAAAGAACACAGCATATATGAAATTTCCCTTTATAAAAGTAATACATACTTACTGCAGATAATTAGGGGGAAATGGAAATCTGGAAAGAAGATAAAAATCAGGGAGCACAATTTTCATGGAGTGTTTTTTTAGCCAGAGCTTTAAACCAGTTCATTCCTCTTTGAGCCCCTGCTGAGAATTTGCTTTCCCACCTCAGAGATACTGAACCAGAACCCACATTTTAACAGGCTCCCCAGGTGATCCCTTTGTTAAAGTATAGATTTTTATTCTGGGGAAGGAGCTGGCTTGAAGCTCTGATTTTGGATCGTCAACCTACTGCCTAACATGAGACCATTTTAGTTTCGTGGGCAAAATGTCAACTTGTTTACCTATTTTGGCCCCGTAACAACACTTCTGTTCTTTCTAGGATAAGAAACTGATCAAGGCGCTGTTTGATGTCCTGGCCCACCCCCAGAACTACTTCAAGTACACAGCGCAGGAGTCCCGCGAGATGTTTCCGAGGTCTTTCATCCGACTGCTGCGTTCCAAAGTGTCCAGGTTTCTGAGGCCTTACAAGTGACTCTGCCACGTGCCATGGGGTACAGCGTCCCCCGTGAGCTTGTGGGCCCTCTGCCTCTGCAGCCAGCACACTGCTGGATCGCACTGCCTCCAGTATCGGTGACTCAGTAGAGTTCCATTTTTATAGATAATACAGCTATTTTGGTAAATAGAAGTTGGGCTTTCTCTCCCAGGTTTGTGGATATGGACAGAAAGTGGCTTTGAGATTCGCCTGCTTCTCATTGCAGTGGGCAGACCCCAGGGACCCAGCAAGGACAGACTGAGCTGGCCTAGAGGCAGCTCAGCTGAGACTCACCTCGAGGTCCTTCACGGTTCTCGCTCCTCAGGGGATTGGGGTGGGAAGGAGGCCCCAGAAGGGGCTGCCTTGTCTGAACTTCTGCTTTCTCCAGCCCGGCTTCCCCTCAGAGCCCCTCTAGCCAGGAAAGGAGGGAGGGTGAACCCACCCCTGAGACCCAAAAGAACGCTCTTCCTCCAGCCTGTCTGATCCCAGGGCTTAAGCCAAACCCAACCCCACTGCCTCCAAGTTATTTCCAACGCACAGCGACCACACGTAGCGTTTCTGAGAGTCTCTGTGGTCACAGACAGCCTCGTCTCTCTCTGGCAGAGCAGCTGGTGGTTTTGAACTGCTGACCATATGGTTAGCAGTCCACTGCTTATCCATAAAGAAGAGTGTGTTAGAACAGAGCGAGAGAAGCACAGCCCTCCTGCAGACATCACGATGTAGACCTATTATAGGCTTCCGAGTCAGGTGCCTGCAGCCCATGTCCAGTGTCTCCACTGTCGGCTGGCCTTTCAGATGCTCAGCCACCGCCATGAGAGGACACTGTGCTGGCTTAGTGCTGACTCAGTGCTGCCCACGCTTCCCAGCCCGTCATGGTTACCTCCCTCCCCACCCTCCAAGGCCAGAGACCGGCTCTGTGCTTAGGAACTGAGCAGCGCCCCTAGGGTGGCCTTGTCCCTTTGATGGGGCTCCAAGGGCCAGGCTGCTCAGTGCCACCGAGTCAACTCACTCTGCTGGCAGGCTGGGCCTCTGTCATCTCCTCTCACTGGAACATGAGTTTTCAATATCACTGAGCTTAGAGAGTTTTTAAGCCCACAGGTAAAAGTTAAATAATACAACAAAAAAGAATCCAAAGGCAAAAACCAATCATCACAGTGAATAGAAAAGTATCCTATAAAACAAACTTTCATATTCCTTGTGACTGGAGCCACAATGCCTGGTCTTTTCAGTAACAAACAATTCTGTACACAGTCGTCTACACCAAAGTACTAAAAATAGCTTGACAAATATTTTAAAGAAAACGGAGTTAATTTTGAACTCATGCTTCACCTCAGTGGGGTTTTCCATTTTAACTTGTTATATTGACTTCTTAAAAGCCCTAATAAAACTTTTCTTTATTTGGGTAAAGTCCTATAATGCCCATTTGCAAATTTCTCTCCAGATCCTTGTTTTTTGTTTTAAATCCTTAAACAAGCCCTTGGAATTTGTTATCTGGGGACTGGCCTGTATTTCTGAGCCTGACCATAAGATGCACATTCAGAGGAAACCTAACCTGAGTTAGTGACCTGAATGATGTGGAGGGTAGACGGGTGGAGCCTGGGTCCAAGCACTTTAGTACCTGTGTGTGCTACGTGCCTGAGATGCTGTATGGCTAACTTCGCAAGACAACTAGGAAGGAAAAAGCCCTGGGAGTTGGAAGGAGGCCTTGGAAGCATCCTCCAGGAGCAGGCCCTGGCACAGAGCTCTGTGCCCTGTACCAGCACGAGCCTCCAAGACCTTTCCTAAAGCTTCTTTCTATACTTGCCAGCCACCCTCCGGAGGCTGCCAGGGTCCTGCTGAAAGAGCTGGCTGGCTGGGGCCAGTGTTGTTCCCTTCTAAATCCGTAACTATTTCTCAAGCATCATTCTGTGCCAGGGACTGCTCTAGGCCTCCAGGGTCCTCCACAGACAAGGCAAGCAAGGTCTCTACCCTCATGGAGTTTGCACTTAAAAGGGAGGGATTGACGGTAAAACAAACATGACACGTGTCCGTCAGTGGGGCAGTGCCACGATGGAAATGAAGACGGGTTCGTGTAGCAGGGCTGCAAGTCCTCTTTAGTTCAGGGATGGTGGGAGACCTGAGGAAATGGCATTTACACTGGGAACTAAATGACCAGAAGGAATCCGCCTTGGGAAAGCCAGGGAGAATAACATTCCGGAGAGAGGTCAACCGAGTGAAAAGGCTGGCGGGCAGAAACAAGCATGTGGGTGTCCCACAGTCTTACTGAGAGGTGACTGCGACACTCTGAGGCTGGGGAACTAGACCCCCTTTGGGCTTTGTCATTCAGCAGGAGGGCGTCCGGTTCCAGTCTAAGTCTGCGCCAAAGCCTTTGGAGGGATGTCAGCAGAGGAATGGATGCACGGAGTCGGGGTTTTAAAAGATGGTTCTAGCTACTGTGCGGAGAATGGATTTTAGGAAGCTGACATGGACACCGAACAATAACAGGCGATTGCAACCCACCAAGCAGTCTTCCAGGTGGGAGAGGAGGGTCTTGATGGGGTGCGAGAGGTAGTGGAGAGGAGCGCAGAAGAGGAGCCTGGGCATGCCCTGGAGAGTCGCCGGCCCTTGTTAAGAGGGCGGGATGCCAAGGGATGAAGGGAAGACAAGAGAAAAGAAAACTTCAAGCAACTGGCAGGTGGAGAAGACTGGAGCAGGCTTGGGGCATGAGGCAGTTTTACACATGCCCATGACTCCCTTTACACGTTCCGTGGGTCTGTCTCCTCCCCAGGGGTCTGGGCCCTGTGGCTGCTTGACCAATATCACTCAGCAGAAGTGCCACTGTGCCAGTTCCCAGGCTCAGTTCTGCAGACACTGGCTGCTTCTCCTACCCCTCTCGTGGGACTCTCAGCCTTAGAATTCGGTCACCAGGCCATCAGGAAATCATAGCCGCTTGAGAGGTCATGTGGAGGAGGAGTGAGTGAGGTCCGCCGGTCCCAGGTCTAGCTGAGCTCCCAGTGACAGCCAGCACAGCTGGCCAGCAAGTGTGCTGTCTTGGGGCTGTTCTAGTTGCTTCGTGTAGCAGTCCCCGAGGAGCCCACTCAAAACGACAAGCTGTGAGCACGGTCCGCAGTTATTTTCATTTTAAGCCACGCAGCCCGGGGACGGTTTCTTGTGCAGTAAAGGGGGCAGAATCAAGCGTTCTCTATTGGCCGTTCCAATATGAGATGCCGATTAGATGTCCAAGCTCAGACTTCAAGCATCCAACTGGTTATATGAAGCCCCAGGCGAGACCAGGGCTAGACTAGATATTTTAGTGTCACTGAATAAAGGCATAGACTAGTCAAAGCCACCTGGGGAAAGTATGTAGATGAAGAAAATGAACCCCCCCACCCCCCACCCCTGGCAAAAAAAAAGAAGGAAAAAAAAAACTCAAACCAGTTTGTTCTCCAGTCGATTCCAACTCGTGCAGCCTCGTACGCAGGGCTGCGTGGAACTGTCTCACTGGGTTTGCAAGGCTGTAAATCTGTATAGAAGCAGGCTTGCTTCTCCGTGGATTAGCTGATAGGTGTGTGAACTACTGCCCTATTGGTCAGTAGTTGAACAATTAACCACGGCATCACCAGGGCTTCTAAAGGCGCTCCAGAGGACTACAGGACCACATGAATCTCAGCCTCTACTCCCCTAACGCCCAAAGACCCTCAGTGCCCACTTACCACTACCCACTGCTCGGATTGGGATCACGGTCGAAGATCCTGGTCTTGGATAGTAGGAGAAAAATACAGACCAAAACTCAAAATCATAAGGACCGGACTTGTTGGTCTTATAGAGACTGGTAGGACCCCTGAGACTAATGGCCCTCTCACCCTTCAAGCTTGGACTTGAACTTACCCCAGCGGGTGAACTTTGGGCAAACAACAAACAGGACTAGGAGGTGAGACTAACACTGGGGAGGGGCACACTCCACAACACAGCCACGTGAGACCAAATGGGCAGCACGTGGCCAGTTGGGAAGCAGGAGGAGTGAGGGAGGCGGGGGTGGGGGTGGGGAGAGTGCTGTTCCCGTGGGGATTGTCATCAGTGGGGGGAAACGAATTTGGTCTACACTTAGATCAAGCCACAATAAAGGGTCTTACCTTTTAAACAAGAAGACTGCCGTGTTGTAGATTCTGGGGGCCCTGGTGGGCACAGGCTCTAGTGCTCTGAGGGGCTGCTCACTGAGTAACAGGAGGCGGTCCTCGAGGAGCACCCCTCTGCCCCCCGCCCCCCGCCCCCCCCCCCCCCCCCCCCCCCCCCCCCCCCGCTGGTTCCAGGGGGTGGGTGAACTCAGCCCTTCCTTCCAGCAGTGGGTATTGGCCTTTCGCTGTTTACTGAAGCGCTGCATCTGTGCGTTTAGCAGCATCTCCCTTGAGTTTCCAAAACTAATCAAAGAGTGTTTGCCTGTCACACGAACAGGTGACTGCCTTCCCTTGGGAAAACTGCTTCCGCTGATTCATTTTCTGGGCTGTTAAGTGTGTTGTTTGTACGAAGCACTCACTGGATTTGGGTTTGCAGGTGATTTTAAATTGTCATGTGACAACTTGGGAAGGATGGCAGCGACATGGCCCAGAGCAGGGACTTGCTTGGCCACCCTCGGAGCTCTGCATTGAAGTGCCTCAGGGCTGCTGCCGCTGACTGGGAGCCCAGGGGCCCTATCAGACCCAGGTGCCGTCTTCTCAGCCAGAAGAGAGGCCTCTTCCCAGGACTCTTAGCTCTGCTTCCTTCCACGGAGCACAACCAGTCCCTGAGAGGCTCATCCAAGTCTGTGTCCCCAATCCAGGACTTGGGAGGCAACTGGACTTGGGGAGGCTGAAGTCAAGCATTGGCCCGAATTGTCGAGGGGGCCTTGTGCAAGGCAGCCCACCAGCTACCTCCCAATCCAGGTTCTGAGAGAGGCCGCCGGGGCCTTTCTCCAGGAAATTAGAGGCCGTGGCAAGTCTTCCTTTCTTTCACCATCTGCTCTCCAGGGACTCGGGCGCTCAGCTCTGGGAGGTCCTGAATGCAGGCTGGTACTCTGCGCTCAGCTCTGGGAGGTCCTGAATGCAGGGTGGTACTCTGCGCTCAGCTCTGGGAGGTCCTGAATGCAGGGTGGTACTCTGTCTCCTTCCTCCAAGCCCCCCAGCAAGACTGCCCTAGTG